TGATTACAGCACTGAGGGGCTCCACGCATCTCACTGATCATCATCTACAGGCCTCCAAAATATTCTCCCGCTGTTATTGAGGATTTTACAGAGCTGTTATCAATAGTAACCTCTGAATGTGATTATTTTAGTATTGCTGGGGATTTTAATATTCACATTGATAATCCAGAAATCAATGCAGTAAAAGAGCTGATGATGACGGTCTTAACACTTCTGATCTGACTCATGTTCAAGGACCCACACACACTCGTGGACACACTCTGATCTGCTCATAACTAAAGGTTTACACATTTCATCGACTGTTGTTAAGGATGTTGCACTATCTGATCATTTCTGTGTTTTCTTTGATATATTGATCACTCCAGCTATTAAAGACAGATCTGTCCCTGTCAGAAACAGATGCATAAGTGAGAACACCAGTGAGCATGATGAAGGCCATATCGCTAGCACCAAGCATATCTGCCGATTCTCTCCTTGATCTGTTTAAGAGCACATAGTTTATCCTTTTTATGATTTAATATGAATATTCTGGTTGTTGTGAGTGTGCCAGTTTATGTTCAGTTCAACACAGTTCAGATGTTTTTATTATAGTGTGTTAAAGTGTCATGTTGGGGGTGTTAACACAGTTTGCTGTTTAGGGCGTGATGCTTCAGTTTCGGCTTCCCGCCCAACATAACAAGGGGGCGGAGCCAAGAGCTCTTACGCTCTGTTTACAACAGACAGGCTGACAGACAGAGAGAGCTAAGCTAAGCTAAGCTGGGATCAGCATTCAGCCGTACATGTACGAGTCGGACACAGACCAAGCAGAGAGTACACAATCATTTGTGTCTTTGTATAGTCTCGGTGTAAAAGTGCCGAGCGTGTACACTGAGACTAATAACCACACACACTGAATTAACGTAAGCTCCACCACGTACACGCCGATGGAAACCCACGCCCAGAACTTCAAAATGCACGGCGCCACGCAAAAGGTACAAGCAATAATTCCAATAAGAGTGATAATGTGGAGAATATTGAACTTGTGTTGAGCCCAATGAGCTTTTCATCAAAAAATAGAGCAAGAGTGTTCCTGTAGTGATATCGCTTTGACTCACGCTGAAAATGGCGGACGTGATACAAGAAACCGAGGATATGATCGTGACGCAAGGCTGTCAATCAATATTGGTGGGCGGGGGGACCGCACTCCTACGTAAAGTTGTGGTCGGTCTGAAAACCGCTGCAATTGGTCCTCCGTTTTGTTGTTGTTAAATTGAAATAAAAGGCCTGTGTGTGTTTATATCAGCCCAATATGATGGTCTATACACTATACTTACACACATGGCTGTCCTAACAGCTGGAAAGGTAGATTTTTCACCATAGGTGCCCTTTAACTCTAAAGTTAAGATCATCATAGATGACATTGTTAAACTCAAGAAGAGAACTGGCAGACAGAGAACCCCTTGGAGAAACTCGAGAGCAGTCCAAATGATGAAAAGACAATGCAGAACAGCTGAGCGTATGTGGAGAAAGACAGACTAGTGCTTGATAATATCTATAAAGACAGTCTTCATGCTTTTAATGTGGAACTCAGCACTGCTAGGCAGACTTTCTTTCTTTCTTTCTCTCACGCCTGATAAACAGCAACTTAAAGGGCTGGTCCAGAAATAAATTTAAGGCTTGGTTGTGTTTATAAGACGGAGAGCGATGTGTGCTCATGTTTCACTTGAAGGAAATCGTGTTATTTTTTCATATATCTCACTTTGATTATACACAGCTACTCAGCTAACATGAAAACCACCGTCATATTTTCTAGTTCCTCTGAAAGACCCGCCCTCAAGTGACTCTGATTGGTCATCGTCGTAATGTGCTGTGATTCGCGGATCGTCTCCACGTCATGCCCAGACAAGCACACGCGTTCTGTGTAAACAGTCAGTCAACAAGTCTGTAACGAGTGAAAATGGGATGCGGCTCCTTTAAGAGAGTGTTTGTGTGTCAATGTGTGTGTGTTTATACCTGTAACACGAGAAGCGCATGTGTGTGTGACCGATGTTTATTTTTCTTTTCCTCTCATGCTCGGATTAAGTTATTTTCTGTGGTGACGCTGCAGACAGAAAAAAGCAGATGTGGGATGAGACCTGTGTGAGCCTTTATTGATGGATTTTTTTGGTGCTTCACTCGAGTTAGGAGAGAACTGCTGTATTTTACACACATATCCGGAATATGCCTGTCTAACCAAGTAACATGAATTGTTCACATATCTTTTGCGACTTCATCGTCTGAGATGTAAAACTCATGAAAAAGCTGCCGATAGAGAAACTGCCGTCACACAGAGAGACGCACGTGCTGTGTGTGTGTGTGTGTGTGTTTGACTGATAAAGATGGTTTTGTAGCTAAATCTTTGGCAGTGTCGATCTTCATTTCCCGTTGTTTACATCTTTGCTACAGCACACTGTTAAGGCCAGACACTGCACACGTCATGATCAATTTCAACAAATAAAAACACTTACAGGTCGAGGCTCTCAGTTCTCAGCGTCTCCTTGCTCCATCTTTGAGGAGATTTTAGCTGAATCCAGCACTGAACGGGGAGATTCTGGAGCTGTTTTTTGTCAGATCATGCTTGCAGTGTATTTTATAATTAAACAGACGAAGCTCTGTGGAAACAGCAGGATGGCATTTCTCCCTCTGCAGTAATGTTACAGCGCTCTGGCCACGGCCCTTACCTGCGCAGTTTGGATGCGCAATAAACGAACTTTTGTAATCTCACAGGGGGCGGAAGAATTTTTTGTAGTCCCCAAAATTCGTTCATTGTAGGCTTTGAAAAGCTAACTCTGTAAAAACCAAGGTGTCCCTTTGCATTGAACTTAGAATTTTTACATTCAGAGCTGCTGTTTATGTAAAAACACTTCTCGCACACTCTTCACAACGGTAGAGAGACTCACAAACCCCCCGTCTGATTCCCAGTGAGCCCCTCTCTGAAAGCAAATGTAATGCGTTCGCTCATTTCTTTACTGACAAGATCAATAATATCAAAAATGTTATCAGCTCATCCAATCAGCCAAGTTGTGTCGTCTTCAGACAAGCTCAACCACAACTCAAGAAGTCAGACATTATGTCTGATTACATGTCAATTAATGGTAAAATCTTAGATAAGATTGTGCAAATTATGAAAACATCAACCTGCAGTCTCGACACGCTCCCCACATCATTCTTCAAAACACTGTTCACCTGTGTAGAAATGGATCTTCTAATAGTGGTAAATGCTTCACTTCTATCAGGGATTTTCCCAAACTCACCTAATCTGCAGTTGTTAAACCCCTCTTGAAGAAGAGCAACCTGGATAACACCCTATTGAGCAATTACAGGCCAATCTCAAATCTCCCGTTCACTGGCAAAATCATTGAAGAAGCTGTTTTCAACCAGGTTAACAAGTTCCTTAACTTCAGGGGGTGTTTAGACAACTGTCAAAGATAATCAATGATACAGACTCAGTCAGACTAACAGTGCAGGTATTGTTGGATCTCAGTGCTGCATTTGACACTGTCGATCACAGCATACTTCTGGATAGGCTGGAAAACTGGGTTGGGCTGTCTGGGACGGTCCTCGAATGGTTCAGATCTTACCTTGAAGGTAGAGGTTACCATGTCAGTATAGGTGACCATAGGTCGAGGTGGACACCCATGACATGTGGAGTCCCACAAGGCTCGATTCTGGCACCTCTCCTGTTCAACCTTTCATGCTCCCTCTGAGCCAAATAATGAGACAGAACCAAATCTCCTACACAGCTCTGCTGATGACACTCAGATCTACTGAGCCTGACTGCCTAATGACTACAGCCCCACTGACACCCTCTGCCAATGCATTGATGAACTGAACAGTTGGATGTGCCAAAACTTTCTTCAGTTAAACAAAGAGAAAACTGAAGTCATTGCGCTTGGGAACAGAGATGAACCGGCCTTCAGCTATAACAGCGCCCCCTGCTGCTGGAGTCAGCTTCCAGAAATGATCCGATGTGCTCCAACATTAGACACATTCACATCAGGACTGAACACACATCTGTAGCTGAGCTGTACTGAGTGAACACTGTGCTCCAGCACACAGCACACACTCTGTGTCTCTGTTTGTCTTCAGTCTTTTACAACCGGTTCAACACATTTCATCTGTTTTTAATGATTTTTATTTTCAGTTTTTATTTTTCTTAATCTTGTCTCTCTTATTCCTGTTTATGTACAGCACTTTGAATTGCCGCTGTGTGGGAAATGTGCTGTAGAAATAAACCTGCCTTGCTTTATTCAAGTTGAGTTTCAGTAGCATTCATTCAGGAGTGAAGGTGCAGCACAGCGCAGGGATTCACAAACGCTTTTATTCCGGGACCCACCTCGGCAAGTAATTCAGTCTCAAGACCCACCACAATATTTCAATATGGAAAAATGAGGAAAAAGATGTCTCCATTCACAGCAGTCATGAATATACGGTGTGCGGCTGTTTGGATTTGGAGATTTGATATGCACAAGATGAGGCTGGGAGAGCTTGTTGTGGGACGCTGGCTGTACCTGTGCTCATCTTTAGTTGATGAAGATACTCTTGCTTTCTCAGAAGAGAACATGATCAACCTTTGTTGACATATCCAGGATGATTTGTTGTCAGGTGGCGTTAAGGTTTTAAGGGCTTCATGCTAGCAGTTGCAAGCTTTTCTAAGCATTAAAGGCATTGCAGGACTTCCTCACCCTCTGGACCTCCGCCGGCAATAACACTGAGATTGAGGTAGGACTGATCATATTTCTGTCTGGCTCCTTTCTAGATTTGGTTTGATCTGAAGACGGATCAGAAGTCTGTGATGGCTTTAGTTTGAAAACTTTTCCATTTTACCAAACACTTTGCGGCTGCAGTCATGAGTGCCTGACGTAGACGCGTGACGGTTCAAAACAAATGAATCGGTCACAGGCCCGGCCCTAACCCGTGTGGCGCCCAAGGCAAGATGTCAGGTGGCGCCTGTCATATCACAGTGAATTCCACTGCTACTGTATAGTCATAAGAAATGAACTAGCTTATTGATCGACTACTACACGCTGAGAAAACGTCACACAAATATGCCAATGCAATTAACATTATTGCTGAATTGATCTAATATTTACACATTTGCTTGAGGAAGGAGTGAGGGGGGTCGTTTTATTACTATTACTATTTTCCATAACATTATAGCTTACAATAAACAGATAGCACTATAGCTAACTATTGATTAGCAATCTGTCAACGCTGGGATGTAAAAAAATATGGGACAACAAACAGCCTCAAATGATAGAATACAGAGCAAACATTAGAAAATATTGACAATAAAATAAAAGGTTTAGCCTATTAAAATTAATGGCCTATCCAGAAATTAAATAAAGCTATAAAATCCACTTCCCTTTTGATTGTATTTGCATATTGATTAAAGTTACTGTAGTTATTTAGTGAAGAGCAGCCAGTGAATCTCTCATTGTGTTGAGTTTGATAGCAGAGGTGTTGATGCGCAGATCTATAATGAAGCGTTGCACTACTTTAGTCACTGCTTGTGCTCATTTAAGAGAACATTAGTAGTGTTTAAAATAAAACACGCAGAATGGACATGTTGACATATTTTAAGTGTATTTGTCTGTTTAAACACACACCCGAATCACCGAAGTATCACTAACTCAGCGCGGTTAAGTTGGTTTTGTTTTCGATATTCCTGACACGTTCAGTGATGGACAGAGATAACTCCAAAACCTCTCACCCTAAAAACATCTGAAGTGTTTCCTACACAAAGACACCGCTGCGTATGTTTCACTGCGTCTTTTTCTTTTTCTCGCTCGACATTACGAGCACTGCTCTGTTTAAGCCCTCGCAATATGTGTTTAGCCAGGAGAGCTCGTGCTGAGCGGTGGCCGTAATGTCAAGAAAGAAAAAGACGCAGTGAAACATACGCAGCGGTGTCTTTGTGTAGGAAACACTTCAGATGTTTTTAGGGTGAGAGGTTTTGGAGTTATCTCTGTCCATCACTGAACGTGTCAGAAATATTGAAAACAAAACCGCGCTCATTTCTGGCGCCCCCTGGACATACAGCGCCCTTAGCGTTTGCCTATGCTGCCTATGGCACGGGCCGGCCCTGCTCAGTCCCTCAGTGACTGCTGATTCAGACTGCTTCAGTTCATGTGTTTTAACCTAAATGATTCTTTCGGAAAACAGAATCGTCTCTAAAGAGTCGTTCGCTCATTACCGTACTGGTTTTGATTCCTCGCAACGTCGCGACCCACAGTTTGAAAACCCCTGGCATAGCCTTCTTCAACATCCTCCTCTGCTGCGGGAATCGTCTCTGCAGTGTACACTTCATAGTGTTCACTGGGCCTGAGCAAATGTTGAAAGGTGTTTAATAAGTGATGGAGGACTCCTCCAGCAACACTCGCTGCTCTGTACAGCTGTGGACAGAAAACACAGGAGCCGCTCAGAGACGCACTCCTCCAGCTTTAATGGCAGGAACTCTGGGAAAATAACAGCATTCCATCCACAAACATCTGCGAGCAATAAATATGTGTTTATAAATAGTGTAAATGTACAGGATTAGAAACCGACGAGGAAGGAGAGACCCGAGCGCTGAAGCGTCCCCTCGCTCTGTCTGTCCGTCTGCGGGACTCAGGAAACAGGACGCCGGACGTGTCGAGTCAAAATAACAAACAGCTCAAACATAAAGCAGTAGAAAACTAGAGCTCTATCCGCTAACTCTTCACATTACAAATGTTCTGGGAGATTTGTGCCGTCAGAAAATCGCTATCTACCATTACAAAAGCGAGGCTAGCGCTCCTCGGAGCAGCGACCCCTCGAGACGCAAGGAAAACTCAGCGTGTTAAAATACAAAACGCAGGTCTGGGGTCAGTAGTCTGTGAGTGACGATGACGGACATTATGTACAAAACCAGTTTCCCATAATTCCCTCTGAGCGGAGCAGGAGAAGCAGAGAGGACGTCACTCACTGGCGCCCCCACAGGCCGGACACACACACTGCGCCTTATAAACAGGTTGCATAGACACACACACACACACACACACACTCACGCACGCACAGACACACAGCCGCTGGAGTCGATGGTCACCAGCCACACCACAGACGACCGAGAGCGTCCTGAATATCAGAAAAGGTCCGCTGATAGAGTTCCTGTGGAGCTGAAGACTCCAGCGCAGCGTCTACTGTCAGGATGAAGACGAGTGCAGAGCTGGAGCCTGCAGAGACAGCAGAGGACAGCGTTACTCAGACACACACACACACACACACACACACGAACGCACGCGCACACGCACGCGCGCACACACACACACACACACACGCACACGCACACACAAACACACACACACACACACACACACACAAACAGGCACGCGCGCGCGCGCACACACACACACACACACACACACACACACACACACACACGATTAATTTATTTGGAATGACTTGTACTAATTAAAGCAATACAGCATTCAAATAATCATAAAGAGCCCATGATGTTTCACAGAAGCAGTAAATACAGTCATTGAATTCACACACAAACAGACGAACTCACAAACAGACCCACACACACACACACACACACACACACACACACACACCTTTACAACCAAAATGGCACTACAACTTGTTGAAAACTTAAGCTCCATGCTGGTGTGGGCGGAGACGAACCCGCAGCTGAGGTGAAGCGGAGTAAGACTGAAGTGTATCAGGGTGTTCTCACACTAGGCCATCCAGGCTCGGTTCAGTTGGCAGAGGTGTGCCAGAGCATGCTTCGGTTGGGCTTTGGTGCAGTACGCTTGTAGTGTGTGTGTGTGTGTGTGTGTGTGTGTGTAAAGTGCGCGTGAAACTGATGACACGCCGTCACTGTTTGATATGGGTTTAATAATCATTCTTACAGTTGAATGAACACTGTTGAACACTCAATCCCGCTCCGGCACGGTTCTGGGCAACTGTAGTGAGTGAGCACACCCTGAGTGTGGAGCAGCTCAGTCTGCCAGCGCTGGTGTGTGTTTGTGTTCATGCAGCAGTGATGAAGACGAGACTCACTAATGAGAACTGCTCATAGAGCTGCGTCAGATCCTCCATGCGGAACTGCTGGAGCACCACAAAGCCCTGCAGATCCACACTGGCCTTACGAGCGCAATCCTGACACTGCACTGCTGCCGCCGGCCTACAGGGGGAGCCCTCACTGCACACGAACAGCAGATTCCACACCTCCACCTGTGGAGGAGCAGAGCGTTACTGCAGCGCACACACACACGCACGCACGCACACACGCACGCACGCACCTCACAGACGCTGCAGTAGTGTGCGGGTTCATCTCGGCTCCTGCGCTGCCACAGCGTCTCCTTCCCGGCTGACAGCAGAGACTCCCTGATGCTCTGAGTCTGCCTTAGCGTCCGCAGCAGACAGAACCTGCGGGAGACAGAGAGGGGTCAGTGTGTGTGTGTGTGTGAGAAAGGGGTCAGAGTGTGTGTGTGTGTGAGAAAGGGGTCAGAGTGTGTGTGTGTGTGTGAAGCACTGGCCAATCCACACTCACTTGATCATCTCGAACAGCCGCTGGTCTGCCACTTTGATGTTCCTGGCCATGTTCCAGGACAGGTGCACCATGGGAACCATCGACTTCACACTCTGCAGTTTGTTCCACTCGTATCGCTCCACGGCCAGCTTATACTGGTGTGCTGCAGGACAGAGGAGCAGCGGTCACACACACAGCAGCAGTCACAACACCACCACTGTGTGTGTGTGTGTGTGTGTGTGTGTGTGTGTGTGTGTGTGTGTGTGTGTCTGTGTGTGTGTGTGTGTCTGTGTGTGTGTCTGTGTGTGTGTGTGTGTGTGTGTGTGTGTGTGTGTGTGTGTGTCTGTGTGTGTGTGTGTGTCTGTGTGTGTGTGTGTGTGTCTGTGTGTGTGTGTGTGTGTGTGTGTGTGTGTGTGTGTGTCTGTGTGTGTGTGTGTGTCTGTGTGTGTGTGTGTCAGCCTCTATGGCCATTTTCATGGCAAGATAAGGAGGGTGGTGTTTTGCAGTACTGCTCCTACATCATCAGCAGCTCGAGTGTGAGGCGGGCGTGTTCTGAATGTGACGTGTCGTTACTGCAGATACTCTATTATACTGTACTGTAGAGCAGTGAGCAGCCGTTAGAGTGTTATAGAGGAGTCTTTGACCCACAGTAGGGCTCCTTTCCTGCTAGTGTTTCCTGTACGGTCCTGCTCTGTGCTATTTGATATTACAATGAGAACACAGAGTGTGTGTGAGCTGCTGGTGTGTACAGGACGGGTGTGTTGTGGGCAGTGGGTCAGGAATCTACACACCCGTCAGTGGACCCACGTTCCAGGAGATGTTGTTGCACCAGCCGATGGCCTGCCCCCAGTGCACCGTGCCCGTGTTCAGCCACACCAGATCGCCCGGCCGCTGGATGAAGCGGTACACCGGCACCCGCGCCTCGTACAGGTCCTCCAGATTTGGCCACCATGAGCCCTTCAGGAAGTTGATGTTGTTCCTGAAAGAGTTTGCAGATCTGGGGTCAGTCCTGCCTCGCTTAAACCAGCTAAAACTGATGACTGATCTCTGGACCATCTGGCTCTGCACACACTCATGAATCACACTACACCATCTGTAAGAGCTGATCAGAAAAGGACAGATGCCTCCCTCAGATCTCTCCCTCAGATCCCTGTCTCAGATCTCTCCATTAAGCCCCCTCCTCCGATCCCTCCTTTAAATCCCTCTCTCCAATCTCTCCCTCAAATCCCTCCCTCAGATCTCTCCATCAGACCAATTTCCTTGGATCCCTCCTTCAGATCCAAAAGACGGCACTCACTGAGCAGTATAGATTACCCATCAATATACGGGGGCATTAGGAGGCACACGGACCAAGCGCCCCCTGCTGGCCTCACTAACACCACTTCCGGCAGCAACCTAGTTTTCCCATGTGATCTCTTATCCAGGTACTGACCGGGCACAGCCCTGCTTAGCTTCAGTGGGCGAACATGTGAGAGTTGCAGAGAGCGACCTGCCGGCTAGCCAACAGTGTACATGACCTACAGCACACTACTGAGGAACACATCAGCTTATGAAATACCAACTCTTGGACGGGTTCTGAAGAGCAAGACTCCTGCATGGTGTCGAATAAACAAAAACTAAACACAGCTACTGGAGTAAAGCCAGCTCAGGTGCGACACACACACACACACACACCTCTCGCAAAACTCGCTCATCACGCCCCAGTACGGCTCCGGCACAGCGAACCACTCGCAGTCGCCCGGTCCGATGTTGATGTTGACAGCGCAGAAGTTGTTGTGCTCCTGATGACCTGAAGGTGAACACACAGGTGAGGTCAGGTGAGGTCAGGTCATGTATGGTGTGGTGTGTGTCTGCGTTGTGGCTCACCTGGAGTCCTGCTGCCCGGCACCTTCATGCAGAGCTGCACTGTGTTCATGCCCAGGATTCTGTGGCCCACGTGACTCAGCAGATTCCCAGCCGACACCACACGCGCAAACGCTGGCAGCTTACTGAGCTCCTGCAGCTGCAGCTTCCACCTGCAGGGGGCACACACACACACACACACACATTACAGACAGAGTGTGTAAGAGGCACGGGTTATTGAGGCCTGTTCACAAGCACAATAACTATAAACATATCACTAAACTATCTCAGAGAAACGCTAACGATCAGTGTGTGTGTGTACAGTTAGACGTGTATTCTCTGTAGAGTCCAGCAGGTGTCAGTCTCAGTGTGCTGCAGCATCTGAACACTATTGATCTGACTCAATCAATCAGGCCGTTTAGCAACTGCAGTTAGTTCTCCATCATTCACACACACACACACACGCACGCACACACACACACACACACACACACACACACACACACACACACACACACACACACACACACACACACACACACACACACACACACACACACACACAAACACACAAACACACAAACTCTGGATTCTGACACTGGCTGTCAGTGTTTCCTCCAACAGCTGGTTAACTTCTCCTGACAGAGCTTATCGCTCCTCTCTGTGTGTGTGTGTGTGTGTGTGGCTGTAGTGCTGCTGTGAACTCAAACATTACTACTATACCTGCACCCTCATCTTTATAGTGATCCTGCCTGGTGTAAGCAGGCCTGTACTCCACTGTTACAGCAGAAGGTGACGTACGAGGTCCCCACAACTTACAAAAACAAGCGCACGTGTGTGTGTGTGTGTGTGTACGGCTGTATGTGTGTGTTAAAGAGACTAAACATTCTCAGATCCTCTTTTGCTGCATTGACACACACACACACACACACACACGCACACGCACACGCACACGCACACGCACACACACACACACGCGCGCACACGCACGCACACGCACGCACACGCACGCAAACACACACGCACACTCACTTCTTTTCGTCGGAGACGTCGATGTTCATCCCAAACTTCACCTGTTTGAAAGGGCCTTTCCTCCTCCTGCACACACTGAGCAGAAAAAAACAGGTGAACATCAGCGCAGACAGAGCTCATCACACACACTCTCTCACACACACCTTTCCGAAGACGCAATCTCTGAGTCTGAAAGCTCCTTCTGGCCCTTCTTCTCGTTCTCTTCCTGAAACACACACACACACACACACACACACACACATACAATTAGCACAAACACTCCACTGAGGCAGTGTGTGTGTGTGTGTGTGTGTGTGTGTGTGTGTGTCTGTACCCGCAGTGACTCCTGGAAGGACGCCGCCTGGTATTGTGCGTATTTGGCGATGGTGGTGTGTGACCTTGTGCTCTCGCAGCGCCACTGCTTGCGTGTCCCACTGGCGTCCCAGTTCTCATCAGCCGGTTGGCTCAGCTGCGTGCGCACTTCCACCAGGTGCTCCGGGTTCATATCCACCAGCGTCTTGGTGGAGAACAGGCCCAGATCTGCAGACACACACACACACACTGCTCTGTTAGTGCCCTAACACAGTACCGTAGAGATGTAATATAGATGATGGTCAGAGAACTCCTCCACAACAGAGAACTCCTCCACAACAGAGAACTCCTCCACAACAGAGAACTCCTCCACAACAGAGAACTCCTCCACAACAGAGAACTCCTCCACAACAGAGAATTCCTCCACAACGGTCAGAGAACTCCTCCACAACAGAGAACTCCTCCACAACGAACAGAGAACTCCTCCACAACAGAGAACTCCTCCACAACAGAGAACTCCTCCACAACAGAGAACTCCTCCACAACAGAGAACTCCTCCACAACAGAGAACTCCTCCACAACAGAGAACTCCTCCACAACAGAGAACTCCTCCACAACGAACAGAGAATTCCTCCACAACGGTCAGAGAACTCCTCCACAACAGAGAACTCCTCCACAACAGAGAACTCCTCCACAACGAACAGAGAACTCCTCCACAACGAACAGAGAACTCCTCCACAACGAACAGAGAACTCCTCCACAACGGTCAGAGAACTCCTCCACAACGAACAGAGAACTCCTCCACAACGGTCAGAGAACTCCTCCACAACGGTCAGAGAACTCCTCCACAACAGAGAACTCCTCCACAACGAACAGAGAATTCCTCCACAACGGTCAGAGAACTCCTCCACAACAGAGAACTCCTCCACAACAGAGAATTCCTCCACAACGGTCAGAGAACTCCTCCACAACAGAGAACTCCTCCACAACGAACAGAGAACTCCTCCACAACAGAGAACTCCTCCACAACAGAGAACTCCTCCACAACAGAGAACTCCTCCACAACGGTCAGAGAACTCCTCCACAACAGAGAACTCCTCCACAACAGAGAACTCCTCCACAACAGAGAACTCCTCCACAACGAACAGAGAACTCCTCCACAACGGTCAGAGAACTCCTCCACAATGGTCAGAGAACTCCTCCACAACAGAGAACTCCTCCACAACAGAGAACTCCACAATGGTCAGAGAACTCCTCCACAACGGTCAGAGAACTCCTCCACAACGATAAGAGAACCCCTCCACAACGGTCAGAGAACTCCTCCACAACGGTCAGAGAACTCCTCCACAACGGTCAGAGAACTCCTCCACAACGGTCAGAGAACTCCTCCACAACAGAGAACTCCTCCACAACAGAGAACTCCTCCACAACGGTCAGAGAACTCCTCCACAACAGAGAACTCCTCCACAACAGAGAACTCCTCCACAATGGTCAGAGAACTCCTCCACAACAGAGAACTCCTCCACAACAGAGAACTCCTCCACAACGGTCAGAGAACTCCTCCACAACAGAGAACTCCTCCACAACGGTCAGAGAACTCCTCCACAACAGAGAACTCCTCCACAATGGTCAGAGAACTCCTCCACAACGGTCAGAGAACTCCTCCACAACGGTCAGAGAACTCCTCCACAACGGTCAGAGAACTCCTCCACAACGGTCAGAAAACTCCTCCACAACGGTCAGAGAACTCCTCCACAACAGAGAACTCCTCCACAACAGAGAACTCCTCCACAACGGTCAGAGAACTCCTCCACAACGGTCAGAGAACTCCTCCACAACAGAGAACTCCTCCACAACAGAGAACTCCTCCACAACGGTCAGAGAACTCCTCCACAACAGAGAACTCCTCCACAACGGTCAGAGAACTCCTCCACAACGGTCAGAGAACTCCTCCACAACGGTCAGAGAACTCCTCCACGAGAACTCCTCCACAACGGTCAGAGAACTCCTCCACAACGGTCAGAGAACTCCTCCACAACAGAGAACTCCTCCACAACGGTCAGAGAACTCCTCCACAACAGAGAACTCCTCCACAACAGAGAACTCCTCCACAACGGTCAGAGAACTCCTCCACAACAGAGAACTCCTCCACAACGGTCAGAGAACTCCTCCACAACGGTCAGAGAACTCCTCCACAACGGTCAGAGAACTCCTCCACAACGGTCAGAGAACTCCTCCACAACGGTCAGAGAACTCCTCCACAACGGTCAGAGAACTCCTCCACAACGGTCAGAGAACTCCTCCACAACGGTCAGAGAACTCCTCCACAACAGAGAACTCCTCCACAACAGAGAACTCCTCCACAACGGACAGAGATTTCCTCCACAACAGAGAACTCCTCCACAACGGACAGAGAACTCCTCCACAACAGAGAACTCCTCCACAACGGACAGAGAACTCCTCCACAACAGAGAACTCCTCCACAACGGACAGAGAACTCCACCACAACAGAGAACTCCTCCACAACGGTCAGAGAACTCCTCCACAACAGAGAACTCCTCCACAACGGTCAGAGAACTCCTTCACAACAGAGAACGCCTCCACAACGGTCAGAGAACTCCTCCACAACAGAGAACTCCTCCACAACAGAGAACTCCTCCACAACGGTCAGAGAACTCCTCCACAACAGAGAACTCCTCCACAATGGTCAGAGAACTCCTCCACAATGGTCAGAGAACTCCTCCACAACGGTCAGAGAACTCCTCCACAACGGTCAGAGAACTCCTCCACAATGGTCAGAGAACTCCTCCACAACGGTCAGAGAACTCCTCCACAACGGTCAGAGAACTCCTCCACAACGGTCAGAGAACTCCTCCACAACGGTCAGAGAACTCCTCCACAACGGTCAGAGAACTCCTCCACAACAGAGAACTCCTCCACAACAGAGAACTCCTCCACAATGGTCAGAGAACTCCTCCACAACGGTCAGAGAACTCCTCCACAACGGTCAGAGAACTCCTCCACAACAGAGAACTCCTCCACAACAGAGAACTCCTCCACAACGGTCAGAGAACTCCTCCACAACAGAGAACTCCTCCACAATGGTCAGAGAACTCCTCCACAATGGTCAGAGAACTCCTCCACAACGGTCAGAGAACTCCTCCACAACGGTCAGAGAACTCCTCCACAACGGTCAGAGAACTCCTCCACAACAGAGAACTCCTCCACAACAGAGAACTCCTCCACAACGGACAGAGAACTCCTCCACAACGGACAGAGAACTCCTCCACAACGGACAGAGAACTCCTCCACAACAGAGA